TGTTCAAACGGAATGGTTATGGTGGTTAATTTGAATAATTGGTTTAATTCGGTTAATAATTGTTTTAATTTGTGTGGTTTGATTTCAGACACTCTTAAGTAATTCTTCATATGTCTAATATATATTATATACACATACTTAATACTTTTCATAACCACTCAAGAGTCAAATGTAAGATAATTGTATTTGTTACATGTATTTATGTTAAAGATTAACTATAATTATGAGTTGATTGTTATGTATTATTCATTAAATAAATAGCGAATTGATGCACTAACCGAAATTTAATTGTTATATTAGTTTGGACGATTTGGTTATAATATTGTATTCCATTGTTAATAGAATTTATGCTTATTTGATTTAATAATTATCATGGTAACTATTTGAACACCTCCAACGGCCACTAAAAACACATAAACAAACTATACTGTGTGAACATAAATAGAAAAATTCAATACTAAAACACGGTTGCAAACTTCCAAAGCCACAACCAATCCCATGATCTAGTCCAATTGATCTCTCATATATACATAGATACAATCAGATCCATTATTGAAAAACTAGTCTAGTATTACAAGAAGCAGAACTTAGACAAATTTGCACATGGAAATATTTGGCAGCCGCACCTCTGCTCTAGCATTGTCGTCCGAAGTTCCTCCATCTTCATCAATTTCAATATTAACCAACTGCTTCTCCAAAAAAACCTTGTCGAAAATCATCAGTTGTTGCTTCTGTTGCAAAGCCACATCAAACATATGTGTCCCATCGAGTGTGCCAAATTGTTAACGGTGGAAAAATATGTGGATGGATTTCGCCTGACTTATATATATATATAAAGATGATTATTACTACGAACCCTCACCTCTTCAAATAGTGTTCAAACGATAATATTTGTTGCATGCAAAGAACCTATGTTACTGTCACTCTACTCTTGTGGAGATTTATTGAGAACTCCACGATTACAGCTAAGACTACGAGTATGGAAGATCTTTCTCGGGGAGAGCTCTGCAAATTATAAAGAAAAAAAAAAGAGATAATTGATACAAGTTGTCTTTTGTGTGTTTGTGATTGTCCTCCTTCCTCTAGAAGCTTACTTCAAGTTTGGCAATGGAGTTGTCCCTCTTCTCTCTCTTATTTTCGAAAAGTAATTAAAGCCTAGCCTATATGCGAGTCAGTCGTCGTCATAAGTCTTTGGACACGTCATCATATCATAGCAGTCATCCACCATGTCGTCGTCATGTAAGATTCGTTGGTAATCATAAGATTGGATGATATCCATGAATGTTAACATGGACGACACCATTCAGTTTTGTACTTTGGATGATATCCATGAACACGGGATGTTACCATCCAATTAGGGGTTGAATGGTGTATCCATAATATTATATGATATCATCGATTAAGGGGTTGGACTATGGTACTCATGATATCAAATGGTACCATCCACTTAGAGGTTAGATGAAGTTTGAACCTAAAAATATATTCTAGGCCAATAATAGATGATACCATCACGAAGAGTTCGAACGAAGGAGTACAGATCGGAGCTTCATTATTTTTTCTATACTATATTTGTTGTTGTAGATTAGCGGTGGTGCACCAAATTCCATCACCATACATAGAGACATAGGCGGAGCCAGGCTACTTTGGATGTGTCCTAGGACACAAGTGAAATTTGGGGTAGAGAAATAATACCCATAATATGTGTATCAAGTTAGAGGTGAAAATTGGTACGGTATTTGGTATCGGAATATCAAAACCAAATTAATGTCAATCTCAATCCATAAATATTTTGGTATCACAATCGATATTATCGAATACAAAATTAATTACCTTTGCAGTTAATAATTAAATATATAAATTTAATTTAATTGTTTAATTTAGGGCAAAGAGACTAAGCAACGAGTATTGAGTTTGCCTAGAGCTAGGATACCGAATAATACTTGAAAATGAATCCCAATCGCAATCCCTAAAAAATAAGCCGGTATTCGATAATACCTAATAGTGATAAATTCGGTACGGTATACAGTATACCCCAAATACCGGTACCAAACTTCGAGCCCTATATCAAGTATTGAACCCTTGACTTTTTGGATAATGAATAAGTATCATATCACTACACTAAATATTATTTAGTGTATATTTTCAATTTTATTAATTAATTTTATTGATTAATTTTATGAGAAGAGGACACAAGTATGTTTGAATCATGGCTCGCCACTGCATAGAGAATATAGATATCCCCAGAACACACATCGAATTCCATCCCCTGGATCAGGCGAGTTGGTAGAACCTCATTGAGCAGCCACCATTCTCTCTTTTTCCGTAGCGGTAACTCTTGCATGCCTCCAGCTTGGCCTTCATGTCGGAGAGACACGCCTCGCAGGCCGCCACGTCGGTCGTGCGACAGGACGCGGAGCCGCCGGCATTGCCGCTGGCGTTCTCCGGGTACCAGAAGTCGGCAGAAAGCGTCGGAGCGCTGGGAGTTGTCGTCTCCAGCGCCGTAAGAACTTGCTCCACGTAATAACCCCAGTTGGAGCCCAGTGTTTCACCAGGCGCTTGTGCGTGAGCTGGAGCGCCATTGCCGTCGGAACATTCAAGCGGCGGTGGGAATACCGGATCACCGGGCAGTTGAGCATTTCCGGTCGACGCGCCACGGAAACATAGGATGGCCGCTAGTAGTAGTGCGACGCCGACAATTGTTGTCGAGGACGATGGATGATGCTCCATAGCAGCAGCCAGCTGGAATACTCAGAATTCTTATTTAAGTTTCGAGGTATGATTGTTTGTTTGATTTTGTGGCTCAAAAGGGAGAGAAGTTGTGTTGTCCCTTTTTATAGAGTGGTTCAAGTTGTACACATACGTTTAGCAGTTTATCATAATTACATTCGGCCAAACGATAGATGATACGATTTAGTTCAAGAAGAAAGCAAAAATACAAAGGAAATGGACAATAAGAATGATACAAGATCAAAAGCAAAAGGCCAAAGGGTTATGTCAGGGAAGCAAAAGAAGACGACAGAACAAAAATGATGGAATAAGAAAAACAAAGAGTTTGATGAAGGAGACGACGAAAGGAAAAAGGAGAAATAATGTCAATTACCAAGAAGCCAAAACACTAAAAACACAAGGAAAACTCTAGCAATTTTCAAAAAGTTATTCAATGTGTTTTCTGTTAAATTTTTCGTTGCTAAATTCGGTTGAATTAAAGTCTACCCGGTATGACATAAGCTAAATGGATATGTAAAGTTTTCACCCCCTCTCTAATTTGGCTTAACGTTTGGTCACTGAGTTTACTAAAATGTGTCATGTTTAGTCACTAGAAAAAATTAATACCAACAATGGTAACTAAGTTTAGTAAAACAAGTCATATTTGGTCACTCTCCGTTAGTCTCCATCCAACTCCGTTAATAGAGTCCGTTAAGTATTGACGTGGCAAACAGAATCACCTAATTAGCCGGATTTAACCCAACAAAAATAAAACCCGACCCGCCACGTCATTAAAACCCGCCACGTCATTATAACTACCCTAACTCATGACCCAACCCTTTCTCTTCTTCTCTATTTGACTAGACCGACCCGAACCATCATCCTTCTTTTCTCTCCAACAACACTTGCTTGGCGACGAAGCAGATCCTCGACACCAATGAATTCGTCCCCAACGCCAAATACCACCGCCTCATCTAGATCTGGTCCAAATAAAACCTCCACTATCCGCTTGACATCTCTTCCGCCGAGTCGGCATCGCCGCTCTCCCCGGGCAAAATGCAGCTCGTCGTCAAGGAAATCAAAATCGCGTCGTTCGCAAAGGAATCCGTCGAGAACCGTCACTTCCCGGCGAAGATGAACGGATTCGTGACAATGCTCGCAGATCTGATTCATTCGGATGTTAAGGATTTATCCCCGCCGGTGGTGGAGATGGCGGTTAGGGTTTTGGATTCGGTGTAGCCGAACTTGGGGATTTTCACGAGCTGATGATGCCATTTGTTGGAAATATATGTTCCACGTGATGTGGGCTGTGGTTTATGGGATAATAATTGTATTAGTTATTTCTTAAAGTGGGCTAATTATAAGTGGTCAAATTATGGAGCCCAAGACTACTCAATATCAAATATGGGCCCAATGAGTGAAAACCATATACTAAACCTAATTAGGGTTTTATGGGAACCCTAGCTAAACATAGTATATAAAGAACCTAGAGGTTGTGGTCCCCAAGATACCAAGACCGAAAATACAACCAACCTCACAGTTAAGGACGAAACTAATAGGTCTCGATGAGTCACAGGTATAGGCTGGGAATAATGAGATGTTTGAACGGCTACAAGATCCCTTGCCTATGGCCTATATGTAAATAGTGACTTAGCTTCAAATAAAGGCTCTAGAATTAGCATAGAATCACACACACATTCCGTGTAATCAAAATCGTGTTTTAAAACTTAGGGGTTATTTGGAGAATGAGAGTCCGAATCTAGAGATTTTAACGAATCTAGAGATTTTAATTCCTTGGATTGTCTGAATATAATTCTAAAATTTTACGTACGTATTTGGTAACTGGAACTCGAAAAAATATATATTCTAATTTTCAATAAAAATACATATTTGTCCTCAACAATCAAGGTGATTATCTTTTGTAAAAAAAAAAGTCCTCAACAATCAAGGCACCAAAATCAGTGTGACAATTGTTTAAAATCCATTTTCTTTGTCGACTGAGTTCTGGTTGTCACTCTTCTTCTAGCATACATTTGTCACTAAAATTAATTTATTCATCCGTAGTCACTTAAATTAGGTTAACAGTTCAACTCTGGTCACTGGCCATTACTCTCCGTTAACTTTTGTTGATATGGCAGTCAACTCTTATAGTTGACCATTAAATGAGTGACGTGACAATTAACAAATTAAAAAAAATATAATTATTTTTTATTTTTCACCTAATTATTATAAAAAAATCCTAATTCCTTTATTATTATTTTTCACCGCCAGGCCGTCGTCGTTCCATCGACAGGATGTCCGACGCCTCCACTGCAAAGTGCAAACAGCCCTTCCAGCTGCTCGAAATAGCTCAAGATCGCCTCGAAACCTTCATCCCCCTGCAGCGACCTCGGGTAGTCGCCCTTGTAGAGCCTGATCGCCTCGTTCACTTGGGCCGCCAGGTCCGACAGCTCCGAGCTCGATTCATCCACCGCCGCCGTTGCCCATCAGAACACGTTCTGGATCGAACTGTCCAGCATGGGAGGGTCGTGCGTCTTTGGAGATTCACCGCCTCCACCATGATCGAAGTCCTCCGGGAACCAGTGAGCGCTCTCGACGCAAGCATGCTGCATTTCCATATCAGACCCGACAACGCCTCTACTCTCGACTGCTTGATTGCCGCAAGGGCTCTAAGCTTTTTTATTGAGTCAAAATCGAATGCGAATCGCCTCGTTGCTAAGTTCTTCCCTTCGTTGAACGGCGCCATCCGGATCGCCGCGAGACACGACGCAAAAGGTTTTTAGGAGGGATCGCATCATGGCGGCGTCGACCAGCTGGTGGGAGCAAGCCCAACCCAGCGCGACCCCGCCGCAAGAGAAAATAGAGACCTTAAACTCGAGAACAGGGGAGGCCCTGTTTTTGGGCTCTCTCTGGAAGGGCTGTCAGGGGAGGAGGCGGTTCAGAAGCTCTGTCTCGCGGCGTTTCAAGAAATGGGCGATGCGACAATCGACTCGGGCGTGGGTGAAAGGGAAGCCCTCGTCAAACCTGTCGATGAAGACACTGGCGGGTCTGGTCCGGCCGGAGAAAGGGTAGTAGATGTTGAGAGTATCCGCAATGGAGAGTTTCAGGTGTTGGACGATGGCGTCGAAAGGGTGGGGATTCGGATTGGCTTCAAGAATGGCGTAGAAGAGAATGATTGAGGTGAAGGTTAAGGGGAGAGGAACGGCGACGGTCTGGCGGTGGAAGATAATAATAAAGGAATTAGGATTTTTTTTTAATTCTTATAATAATTAGGTGGAAAATAAAAAATAGTTATATTTATTAATTTTTTAATTGCAACGTCGGTCATTCAACGGCCAATTATTAGAGTTGACCATCACATCAACAAAAGTTAACGGAGACTAACGACCCGTGGCCAAACTTGAACTGTTAACCTAATTTAAGTGACTACGGATGGAATAACTTAATTTTAGTGGCAAACACAAACTTTTTAAGTAATTCTAGTGACCAACTTGCAATTTAGCCTATAAAAGGAACTCTTTTGTATGGTCAATTGGTCATGATCCAAAACCATGGAAAGACGAAAGAAAGAAAGAAAGTCAATAGAAAAAGAAGCTCAAAGGGTTAATTGGGGAGCGGATCAGGTTAGTAACATTATGGTGAGTAAATCAGTAATGAGTAATCCGTCCACATCAGCATGACATCAGTATCCCTCTTTTTCATTGAAAGATTTTTATCTTATCTCCTTTAATCTTTAAAAGATGATTTCTCTCTCATTTTAAGTCGGAATTTAAATTTTTTTGCACAGATAAATAAGATTAATTGTGCTCTTTAAAATGATATCCACTTTGATATATTTTTAGAACAAAAAAAAATGAAACATTTTTTACCAGTCAATATCATATGGTATGCTCCTATTTAATACCATATAGTAAGAAAGTGCACCATGATGGTATGGACATACCAATACTGTAGGGAGGTTGAATACATAATAATAGGAGTATAATAACTAGGGGTGAGCAATCGGTCGGTTTGGTTTCGATCGCACCGAAATTATGAATACCGGGTCTCCGAATTCTCCCAAACCTCAAACCGAATGCAAACCGAATTATAATTCGGTTCGGTCAGTTTAAACCGACTTATAATTCGGTTCGATTTTTCACACAAAACCAATTTTGTGAAGCTACTTGTATTTTCTCACTTTAAATTATTTTTCATCCTAATATAAACAATAAATATGCAATTATATGCATCATCAATGATAAAATCAAACTTTTCAACACATAAATCATAAAACATTTCAAATATATAAGTCTAAAACCAAGTACAAACATAAAAATCCACCATTTGGAGCTTGTAAATACAGTATTTCGGTTTTTCGGTCGGAAATTCGGTTCGGTTGAAAGAACCCTGATTTCCGAACTATCCATATTTTCCTTCTGAATTCCGAACCGAATAGCATTAATTCGGTTTCAGTTCGGTTTAATTCGGTTTTGATTCGGTTCAGGTTTAACGAATTGTTTGCCCACCCCTAATAATAACTGTCATTTACGACTTTCATCATTGTTAATTACCACAAGTTACCACGCACATACCAGAATTGTAAAGTATGGTAATTTTTTGTCCAGTATTTTTTTCCGCAAAAAATTTGTAGATCCAATAGATCATGATGAACTCGTTCCTTCTGAGCAAACGTTTTAAAAAACGACTTAAAAATGAAAAAGTTACCATATGGTATGTAGTTGGAAACGAGAGGTATGAAAAAAGGTTTCTCAAAATATATTGAAAATTGATCTCATTCTGTAGAGCACAACGAACTCGTTCCATCTGTGCAAAAAAAAAAATTTGAAATTTGAGTTATAACGAAGAAGATAAGAGCCGATTAAGAAAACTAGAGAAAATAAAATGTATTTATTTTACAATCCTTAATCTAGATTATTAGGGCCACAAGAATCTAAAAATTTCTAGATTTAATTACTCAACGGCCAGTAACCAATCGTTACTGAACGTATCCCAAGCCGATTAATTGCAGGAGTAAATAGGATATTGTTGTGAAATTATATCCGGTAGATTATTGATTTTAAATCTCTACCTTTTAGAGAGATTTGATATCTCTATTTTTTTAGATATTTTAAATCTCAAAACTTAAATCGGGATATGTTAATTGTGGCAACAAAACAAAGCTTTTATTTAAATCACTAGATACAATAAATTCATCTCCTAAATCATGTTTTCCAAACGACCTCTTAAAGCTTACACTGTTACACTTATAGGTCACCAAAACGCTTCTACGTAAAATCACTCTATTCAGTTACAATTTTAGTCAAAATCTACACTTAGAAGCTTACGTTTTTATGCCTTCAGGACATCAAAATGCTTCTACATTGAATCACAATTTTGACTACATTGCACACTCAATAGCTCGATCAACAACAAGGAATAATATTTAAACTGTGGACTCGTTCACAGTAGCTCGATTGACAATAATCAACAACATTTAAACATTCATGTAATTTGATGGAGTTTATGAGTTGAGTAATTAATGTTGGTCTCTAATTCTAGTATGCTTTTTTAATAACATTTGACGGTACAATGGTGTTATTGTGCGTACTTGTGTAGAATTGAGTTGATTATCGATTTATATCTATTTTAAATTATATTTTATTAAGAGAATAAAGAACTTAAAAAGAACGCATCCATATGTAAGAATTTTTTAAAAAGAAACACACATATGAAAAAGGAGAAAGTCTTATGCTGGTTAGGTTACCAATCGATTATTTTGATATAACTTTGCCAAATCACTTGTTTAACAGTTATCTGATTAATCTCAATAAATAATCGATGATAGAATATACGATTATGAATAACCGACTAATATAACTATGTGGTTAACAATATGCATAAAGCCATAAACTACTTAAAAATTAACCAATAACCAACTAAATAATTAGTTTGATAAACAAGCCGATTATCAACCCTATCAAATATTGTCTGATATAGGATAATATGACAAACAAAAAAGACTCACATTTTCATTACTTTGATTAATAATAATAGAAAAACATTTGGTTCTATCAATAACAAACTCAATCTTTCGGCAATATAATCCTCTTCCTTGCGACCGTCAATCAAACCCATGGTCGCGGGTACCCAAGACCCAGTCAATGTGAGGAATTCCTGCTTTCATCGGATATGGATAAAACTCGTAAAAAGTTTGATGGGTATGAGGTGAGTATGGTTTTAGCCTCCCCGCCCCGTACCCATACCCGCCTCACCAAGAGAATTTCTTCACATATAAAAAAATATGGATCAAATTGAAGATAACTCGAGAAAATAAATAGTAAAAATGCAATTGAGTGGCCACCCTAATCAAAACCTAATTCATTTTCCTCAATTCACCCTTCACTCTTTCACTTTCCCATTGTCAACAAAATAATATTAGTTAATTATTACTTAGTAGATATATCAGAGTTAGAGCATAATAATTTAGAAAATATTGTACTCTATATTATATATTAATGGATGTTTTAGGATCATATTTTTTGAACCGTATTAAGAAAATGACCTTATTTTGTTGACTTCATGATATAATATTGCTTAGTGTTATAATTAAAAAATTTCTTCTAAGTTTTAGATATAATAATGTTAGATGTACGGGGACGGGTATTACATGAGTACTTGAAACTCACTGGTATGAGGATAAGTTTACAAAACATTTCCCGCATGAGTATGGGGCGGGTATGAATTTGGGTATTTGAAAATGGGGATGATGATGGTTTAGGTAAACCCATCTCATTGCCATCCCTACTTGCGAGTGTCGTAAGTTGGTAATTAGGCTTACAGTTTGTTAAGAAATATTTTTTAAGGGCTAAAATTGTTGGTACGGAGAAATTAAACATGGGTTTACTGTTTAAACAATCCTGAGTTTGTAGACATATATGTTTAGCGGTTTAAGATAAATACAATAGGCCATAATGTTTATTTCGATAAGTGATGTAATTTTATTCAGAAAATAAAGGAAAAATACAAACAAAATGGACAACAAGAATGAACCAAAATCAAAAGCAAAAGACCAAAAGGTCATATGATGATATGACAGGGAAGCAAAAGAAGACAAAAGACCAAAACTCTTTCTCAACCCGCTTCTCCTCCAATCTCGGCCCATAGTCTGACCCTAACTTGGCCTGATTCCTCTTCGGCCCATTCCACTGGAGTGACCAACCCATTTTGGGCCCGAGACTACCCTCTTGCTCGGCCCAGGTCCTCCTCTGCTTTAGCCCACTCTTCTGGCCATCAGCACCCTGACCCGGCTCCACTGGTCCAATCCAAACCCGATGGATCTCTTCTTCTTCTCCAAGCAGCACCACAAGCCTCTACGGCCCGGGCTCCCCATGGCAGATCATCTGCTTATGCAACCCTAGGAGACCCAAGGTATGAGGCTGCAAAGACATCCCCGCCGCCCTGCTTCTTCTCAATCGCCGGCACCTCAGCTTCTTCCTCCGACGCCGAGAAGATCGGCGACCATCTTGGCGGCTGGCTTGCGTCCGGCCTTGACTCCGTCGTCATCTTCTTCTATCCTCCCCCCGGCGACGCGCGAGGTGGCTCTACACCGCCTATCTCCTTCTCCATCCCCCACGGATTCGTCTTCAACGACAACTGTGTTTCGCCCTCAATCGGGGGAGAGAGAGAGACGCCGCCCTCTTCCTCGCTCAGTTTCGCAATGGCGCGCACGATTCGGAGCTCGTGTAGCGATTTCGGCTTGGAGAGAGACGTGGCGCCGCCTCCTCCTTCTGCCCATAGCTCC